TTTTCATGTCTTCTTGTATTCTGACAGGATTCCTCCCGAAAAACACAATAGCTCACCCACTTTCTACTTTTCAGAGGGAGTTCTTGGACGTGGCTTCCATGTTGCAACACCATGAAATTAGTTTATTATTATCATTGCAGCGCAATTACTGATTCTGGCTTTTCATGATGCAAAATGACTGCTTTTGATTCCGGGTCGTGTTATCTACTGACAATAAGGAAGCAATGTTCATGGGTTTGTACGGTAGAAAAAAAAGGTAAATGGATCATTCGGTCGGTTTTAAGGATTTACAGACGTGTCGTCACATCTTAGTTCCTCACAAGATCAGAGGGAGAGTTTCTGTTTGCTTGTTTGTGTTTTTGTGTCTCCGTGAAACAAAACCTCAAGGCCATCGAGGAGACCAAATGTTGCTCCCCCCCCCCCTCTAATTACCAGCCGTTTATGGGTAAGCCTTGTTTAGCTGTCGTCTAGTAAATAAATACATGTCAGATTGTTTTTGTTTTAAGGGTTTTCACATTCCCATCTAGTTAGACCTCAGTTATAAGTCTCTCTCTCTAGCGTGAACTGCAGATATGAGTAAGCAGCGATGTAACCAAAAGCTGCTTTGAATGTAAAAAGTTACGAGTCATACTTTTAACAATGAATCGGTTTGCTTTACATGAACAACAATATCCACCCTGAACAGACAAAGAATACAGGACCATCAACCAATGCTTCAACTACTTGGTTGAAAAAATGTAAAAGTCGTGGCGCACGGCCAGTTGATTAGATCATAACGCTTGTAAAGTAACGATGTAAATTCACTGCTGGAGTGCTGAGGATATACTATTATAAATATATCATTTATTTTCCCTGTCTTCTTCACCACGGGAGCATTCATATTAGGCAAACATTTTGAGCACATTACTGTATTGAATTTCCATGTCACTACTTGGGTTCTGTTCCGCCATGTGGTTGGTTTTTCTGCTGCTGCTCTCGCTCGCCGGGACACGCGTGACCGTAGATTGGATCAATGTTCCTCCCATTGCAGCAATAAGCCTCTACCACTTTCACAGAATGTCCTTACCGTACTACGGAAATAATATTTAAAAAAAAAATCCCGTCAACAATGATTCATTCTTCCATTAAAAGACGAGCAAAAGGAATAACATATCCACAGATCTGCGTCCGTCTTACATTCTCCTCCCCCCATTTTGTGACTGTGGTGTGTGAGGAAACAGAGTTGTCGGCGGTGGGAAGGCCGGCCCTGCTCTTTGCCACAGGGCCCCCGTTGCGCCGTGGTTGTTCTGTCCTACCAGATTCGTCCCTGTGAGGATGACGAGGAGAATTTGCCACGTGAACCATGACCCAATTAATCACGAGTGCAAATACAGGAAATGGGAAGTGGGAGGGTGTGGGAGGGGGCCTTGATTTCTTTGTGTAAACAGCTCAACACACGCAACTAGACACATTCATCATTAGATAAGAATTAGCGTTCCCTGTGTGACGCTAGTGTGATTAACTTGTTTCCAGACGCTAAATCACCAAAGTTTTTACTGGAAATTAGCGACTGATTCTAGCAAAATCGCTTGTGAATGAGAACGATGTGTAGGTCCTTCCAGCAAGCAACAAGAACCCCCTTTATTTCTCTTTCCGTGTCAGTTCTAGCTCCACATGTACCAAAATATTGTTAAAAATGCTATTTTGTGTTCTTTTGTATTTTACTTAATTGACCTGGTTATTTCAAGCCCATCCGTGATGTTTTTCCATCACCTTACTACCTGGGTCTGGACATCACATTAAGTAATGGGATATGAATGACACACAAAAACAGCCAAAGATGCGTGCTGAGGACACACTGACATGTTATGCTATTGATACGTCTTCCCATGCAATCGGGTCAAGTTTTTTCGCAGTATTACTGTTCTTTAAAGGGAGAAAAGTACTACCGTCCACACTACATTAGTACATGTTGGTAGTTTGCATGTTGCATTAGTACATGTTGGTAGTTTGCACATCCTTTCCATACATTTATATTGCTTTTCCACTCATTTTGGGGTGGTGCGAAACAATTGGGGCTTTTTGTAAAAAATAAAAATTCTTCAAGTGACCTTTAAAACAAAATACTGTTCATTTTATTATAAGAGGTGCTATCATCCCTATAGAATGTAGCAATATGTGTTGATTCAGTATTGCTTTAGTGGACGTGGGCATAATAAAAATGACAAAACTCAAAAGATGATTTCAAGCGATAGCCGGGTCATTGCAATGTCCGTCACTTTTAGGGTTCCCTGTTCGGCCGCAGCTCAATAAAAGGGTGCAGAGTAGCGGTGTATCGATGGTATGATGATTGGTGTGTGTGTGTGCAGGGGCTGGGGGGGGGGGGCGTTAGGGTTACATGCCAGCAGTCTGTCCGCTGGCTTCTCCTCCTTCTGTGAGTGCGGAGGAATGTGCCGCCTGAGAGCCACGGGGAGGAAGAGCGGCCTGAAAGCAGGCGGTAAACACAGTCAGCCTCTCTGTCTGTTTGTTTGTTTGTTTGTATGTTACCGTGCAATGAGGGCCGGCCCTTTGGCAGCTTCAAAGCTGCTCCTAAGCAACATCTGTTCTTCTTCAGTCTGCGGGCCGACGCGGCCGTGTGTCACGGCCCGTCATGACTTACAATTGCAGCTGTAAATCAATATTTTCGCACTGCATTGTTCCATTGGCGAGAGTTCAAGAATGGACAAGAGCTCATTGAGAAGAGGGAGGAGGAAAAATGCTTGGGAGCGAACGGCATTTTTTTTCAATCGACCACAATCACAAACAGATTTTCGACAATTTCAATGTGAACTAGCATAAATATTTATCGGATGAAAACACAGGCCACGTTCAGACAACCAAAAGAAACCAATTTCTACAAAACTACATTACTTTATACCAAATCTCTGTCGACTTTCTCTTTGTACTGTATTAGTGTGAACAGATTGACGATCCCATGTTGTGTTACTGTGTGTCAAACTGTCCAAAGGTGTAATGTTCTTTAAAATAAGAGTAAATTAAGTCTGATAATTCCCTTGCTTCAAAATGTCTCCCATGAAGACCACCTCCTCCCGCCGATAAACCACGAGCAGCCTTTGAATTGATTGTTAGCTGTGGGGCCTCCTGTATTAATCTCTTTCACTGTGTAATGAGTGAATTAGTGGGAAGCAGAAGATGATGCACGGCGAAGGCTGACGTGTCCAAAACCCGCGTTGGATCCACATGCAACAGCCTTTTAATAATGTGGCCGGAGACTTTGCGGCATCATTCTTCACTGCAGCCATCGACGACAACGGGACCAATAACTCTCAGAGTGTGACGGCGCAACTGAGTTTTCTCTGAAGCCCTCTCTGTGGAAATATCTAAAGCTTTGCTGTGCTCATATGCCGAGCAACGTATATTATGAGATTTTTGAAAAAAAACAGACCTTGCTCCTGAAAACGTAGTTGCATGAGAAAGTAATGTTCCACACGTGCAGCTGCTTTTAAAAGAGCTTATAGACATTTCCTCAAATTTAGCAACGTTCTATTTAATGCTCAACTTTTTCACAACTGTTCTTCTAAAAGCCGATTACTTGAGTTCACAGTGGAAGTGGAACATTACGATAGCATTAGTTAAACTGTGACTTTTTTACATAGCCTTCATTTTTAAATATTCATTTTTTTTTCATATCGATAACCGATGACATGTCTTTTTTAATAAATATTTCTTTGGACATTTCTTGAGTGAGACCTCCTGCTGCAGCCAGCGCAACAATCAGGAAATTATAATAAGAATATGTATATATATTTTTTCCAAATCCAAATCTAAGAGTTGCTCAGCCTGCTGTGTGTGTGCTGTGTCCTTTAACGCTTCCAATACGTCAGATGCCTTCCAAACCTCCAGTCTCCAACCCCCCACAACAACAGCTGGCGTCTCAGCCACGGCCCTAACGTTACACTGCCACCCCAGTCTTTCAATGCGGATCAAGTATTGTGGTGTCAGGGGCCCCTAATGGCCCTCACAGAAAAACGCACAGAGTGGAGCCAAATACAAGCATGTAACATGTCCCTCTAAACAAAGATGAATAGAACTGTGGAAACATGGGAACAGTACGGGTAAATATTATTTTTACAGCGAGGCTTTTAGCTATTAGTTAAAAGTTATAGATAAATGTCAAAATTAGTTGAAATATTTAAACTTGAAAAGTGGATTGTGACTATTAGTGATTGTGGCAGAACCATCCTAACAAACAAATAATAACAATGCTTTCCTGCATTCCTTTTGGCATCGATAATAGTCACTCTTTGCATAATCTGCATGGTTTCTCTCTGACCGCAGCACGCGACTGGTTCTAATGGTTCCAAGATGAAGTTATACTGCATTGAGGTCCCGGCCATTTTGCATTCTGGATTAAGAGTCACAGGATCCTGTTGGCCGGTGCGTTTGTGCCTTATCTGTTTGCTCTGCAGTCTCAATGAAAACCAAGACACTTATTGACTAAAGACTAGTACTTCCAGTAATCTGCCTTTTTTCTACATGGTGTTTATTCATTTAACTAGGTTGTTTTTAGCCACGTGTTTGTCATGCTGCATTGTGTCTGTGCTGTTTGTGTTACTCGTCTGGTAAATGGGAGTTGGTTCTCAATGGATTTTACTTTTTCATTCTGACCTTTTATAAAAATGAATTTTAATAGCCCACATCTTTTATGGTCAAACGTTCCCCTTGCGACCACCTTCCGGTTTGATAAAGATAGGTTGCGTCATACACCACCGGGACGCACTAATCATCCTCTCGGCTCTTAACTTGAGTGACTCCTGTTTCAGTATTGAAATCAAATCGGTGTGTAAAACACGCCATGGGGCTGACTCGGCCTTCCGCGTCCACGAGACGTGAAGGATCCAAAGTGACCTGTGGTGAACTTGTGCGCTGCGCGCTCTCCCTCTGCCAGAGTGTGTAGGACCCAGCGGAAAAGCGCTCCGACCGGAGCGAGAGAGAGAGACAGAGACAGAGAGAGAGAGAGAGAGGGAGGAGGGAGAAAGCCGAGTGGAGAGGAGACGCTCTCAGATCAGTCAGTGGCTTCATGGAGTTATGTACCTCTGATCCGCCGCCATGGATTGCCATCCGCGATCACTCCTTCTCATTTTACCTCTTTTGTTGTCCTGCGTTGTTCCTGCGTTTCCCGTCATCTACCCCCCGAATGAAGGTAAGTCAACTCCGTCCGCAGACGCCGGTGTCAATGCATGCGTGCGTGTGTGCGTGCGTGCGTGCGTGTGTGTGTGTGTGTGTGTGTGTGTGTGTGTGCAGAAGCGCGCACATCGCGGAGCGGGGCTGTCCAAATGACCACAGAGATCAACAATGACAGGAGCCTGAGACCGAGGGCACGAATATTCTCCATTTAGACTATAAACTTAAAAGTAGACCCAAACAAGGCGGGCAGCGCAGCCTCAGTGTCGTATGATATCGCCAACGGGGAAGGTGGTGGGCTGGTGGGGGGGTAACAGTTATTTAAATGTCGACGCTTGAACCGAGCGATGGCGAGACGGGCTCCCGATGCGCCCATCGGAGAGTTATTATGGGGGCGACGACGAGATGTGGGGGAAAACTCCGGGGACTGTCTTTTCTTTTAGAGGTGCACGTCGATCATCGGATGTCAGTTTTATCCCAAAGCACGCGCACACACACACACACACACACACACAGAAACAGTCTCGCCGATTTAAAGGCAGCTCTTAAGAGATGAGCGCGATCGCGTTGTGCGTAAAACATGCGGGACGTCTCTTTCCGTGTCCCCGACGCGAAACAGCCGTTTAAACTGCCTGTTTTATGGAGCCACGCGATGCCTGGTGTTCGAAGTGTTTTTTTGTTTTTTTAATCCAGTGTTTCATTAAACCGACAAAGCATTCCGATGTAATTGGAATTATTCCCAGTGAAAGTTTCGGGCGCTTTTCGGCGATGCGGAGCATGCGGGGGGGAAAGGTGGAATAAAGCCGAGCGCGGTCCGCTTTCAGAAGTCGCTCTTTTCAAATAGGACTTTGTCTCCTTCTTCACTTGCTTGGATTCATAACTTCTTTTCTTTTTTCCCCCCACTCAAATAATAAAAAAACGCGTTGGATAAATACGTGTCAATGTGGAAGTGTATCGTAGCGGGGTCAAAGTGAAAACGAATGCGTGCTTTGAGTTCCGTAAAGGTTAAAAGGTGCCACATGGAGGGGAAAATACACTTGGATGAAGATTTAGGTCAAACTGTCTAATGGGACTAAACTCAAAATGATTAGTTATTCCCTGTAATAAACACACCTATGATATAATGCTTCCCACGTGCTGCTCATTGCCGTTCATGCATTCAGAACTGCCCCACACGAAGATGTCCGCCCAGGTTTGAGTGATTTAAAGTGTAACACCAATAAAGTAATTAATTGCATCGGAATGAGCCTTTAATGGGAGTAAATCGACTCTGCTGTAATTACACGTTACAGCAGCACGTTCTGGTGAGAAAGTAACGCGTCCTGGGATGGAAAGTATCGGCCTCCAGCTCAGAAAAAGCATTTCATGTCTGATAGAAACATTCAAAGGGTGAAAGTTAACCGGGACAAATAGAACCACGAATCGAACAATCGATTGATTTTTTGTTGTTGTAACACACCAAGAGAGGAGACCGATAACTATCCCACTGAAGCTTGTGTCTTATTCATACACAAATGATTCTTAAACGTCTGCATTACTTCGTGCGAGTTACTCAAGAAGTTGCGTCCGAAAATCGAAATGTGTCTCCTTAATATCGGTTAATCACGCCATAGCAAAAAAGTGGGCTACTCCCAATGAATCGATCGTTTCGATCGGCCGGTGCGCCACGTCGCGTGTCAGCTGTCACTTCTTCGTGATTTGGAGATTCAGAAAACTGCAGGAGAAAAAAAAAGAGTAAATTAGTAAAAAGGGATTGTGTCGAGGTCAACTACTAAAGGCCCCGAGAGAGTTTGTACTTTCAACACACGCAGAGACACACACGGTCAACACGGCAAATAGCGTATGAGCTGCACAGCTGACTGTGGGAAAAGGGAAAGAAAAAAAATATGTATATATATACATGCTGCTGTTTGTGTATGTGCGTGTTTGCTTTGGAGAGACCGATGCTGCAAGCGGGGGGGGGGGGGGGGGGGTGATTAAAAAAAAAAGGCGAGGACACGGAGGCACAAAGAGAGAGAGAGAGACTCAAAGTGTCAATACGTGAGAGAGACGGGCCCGTTCGCTTCACCTTTCCCAGACGTAAATCCTGCCAGAGAGTGTCAGTGTCGAGCTGCTCCGTCTCCGCGTTGCGCACAAAGCAAACAAACAGCACAAAAGTCCGAATGAAATGTGTATTAGGGCGTTGGTCTGATCCGACTCCCCTTTCCAGTCTCTGTCACGGGCCTAGTTCAGAATACAAGGGAGGGGGGGGGGGGATAATAAAACCATCGTGAAGTTCGAAAACTCACAAAACCGGCGCCGTATTTTACACTGAGTTCCATTGTCGGACAGCGCAGGCCTTTACATCACATTTGATGCCGACTGACCGACTTGTTTATTTAATGGCGGGACGCATCTGCGCTACTTTTAAATGCATTGATTCACGCTGACAACTGCCAGGTCTTTCCCATATTGTTCACCTGAGGGTGCCTCGTGTTTACACCAAGAAAGGGGGCAGGTGATTATGAACTGGCCCCCAGAGTTCACAAAGGAGGCCCCTCTGCGAACTTTCGATTATTCGGCGGTCGTTAAAGCCTCAGTAAATTTGTAATAACGTGTTTTGACTTCATATTACATGGATATCAGTTAATATGAAAAACGCATTAAATATTGTTTTACCACTTGGAAGGCTCTGTGGGAATGTTCGTTGGCTTACTGGAAATCCATTGATTATTACGGAATTAAGACGTAGAGAGAAACATATTTCCAAGCCGGACGAACGTGCTCTTTGTAGTGGCTCAGGAGCAAACTTAAATTGTTTTTATTATTTCCCTCCCCATGCACAGAAAAAGAAAGAGGTCTAGTTATTTTCCCAGTAATTCCCCGTCCCGTCTTATCCACTGCGTTTAAGAACCTTCCCCCTGTGGCTTTCAGGTCGTGTATAAAACTTCGGAGGGAAAAGTTGAGCGGAATATTATTTCTTTCACGGACTCATTAAAGCTTTTGCCTGGAAATAATATATCATATCAAAAAAATATATATGTATAAATATATATTTGTTGTCAATGTTAAATCGGGGGGGAAAAAAGCATAATAACAAGTCGGGGGCCGCCCCGCGGTGGTGCAGCACCGTGTCCCCCTTTTACGTGGGGCGATGTTCGCGCGCAGCAGGGCGTCGCGAGGCCGCCGGTATTTTTAGCCGGCTGGAGGGAGGCTCGGCCCGCAGAGGCCGGCGCTGAGGTCCCGCTGGGACAGACGGTCGTTTGTGAGCGATGGCACCTCTCACAGGTGCTGCAAATGTGCTCACACGCGCCCCTTCTTTGAAAATGAACGCGATCATCTACACAAGTTAAAGGACTTTATATTCATGTGTGTGCATTGAGCAAAGCTTGAGCTGCAGACGGAGGGGCCCGTTTTTTCATTTCAACAGCAGGCGTTTTAGACTTCAGATTGAGATATAACCCAAACAAACAACAACAACAACAAAAAAGATGTGGGCTTTTGTGGCTTTCTTAGTGTGTAAAGACAAATATGATAATTCAGCACGTGTGCAGAGGTGCTGTATGCCCGTAAGTGTAAATTTCAGCCTACATGCCTTCTGTGCCTATAGACAGTAAGTACAAGGCAGATGGTATATGGATGGAAGAAAGAACCGAATGAAAGAAAGAGAGAAAGAAAGAAAGAAAGAGGAATGGGGGCAGAGGGGCTGCAGCAGCAGCAACATCAGACAGAGCGACTGTGCACTTGAATAATTCATAATGGGAGGTGAACACTTCACCCTTTAACACAGACACAAGTCGCCCCGCTCTGCCTGCACTGCGGCCTGCCAACACTCCACATGCGCAGAGAGCGAGCTGCACGAGCTGCAGCCACAAAGCCCCCCTGCACGCTGTTTACAGCGAGATGGTAGATGTTTGCGCCGTTCCCCCTCCCCTTCTTCTCCAGTCCGGGTGGAGCGACACAGTCCAGATGGAGGAGGTCTTGCTTTACTGATCAGGCCATGTGTTGTTGATCCTGCACCGACTGACGGCTCCTTCTTCCGCTCGTCCGACATTTTAATTGTGTCTTTGGCGCGGGGATTACGCTTCGAATGGGTCTTTACTGGAAGCGAGGGGCTGTTGGCTTTGACTGTATGCTGGATATTTAAGTTTAATTTAGCTGTTAAATTAGAATTACATTTACCGGTTTTGACGATACAGCAAACGCGCATCAACCACGCACACCCTCCATGCGTTCCCATCCTTTCATGAAACCTACAGCAGGACGTTCCGTCCGCGTGCAGCCAGAGGTCATTCTCAAACTTTTCGTGGTGTTCGATGGCGGCCTGGAGCTTTATGTATTGATTCACCTGTTTCTACCTCTGCGATGAATCGCTCGCTCCCAGACAGGCTGGCTCAGTCTGCTATTAATACTCCTAGTTCCCGTTCAGAGGCACTCCCTGATGGGGCAGGGGCTACATGCTTGGCTGACGCTAGCTTGCTAACCGACCGCGCGCGTGTGTGTGTGTGTGGCTGAGAGGGAGTGAGAGTGAGAAAGAGACTCTTTGTGTATACACTCTTATTTCGTGCCTCTTTTGAGCACCTGTGTGCAGGCACAGTGTGTTTTTAGTGAGCATCTGCAAGACTGCGTGCGCTCAGTAAGCAGGCGTTCCTTTATGTTTTAGTACAAACGCATGTGTTTAACGATGCGCGTTTACACGCTTATCTCCTCGGACGAAGGCCGCATCTTGGTGCGATTCGGTCATTTTTGCATGCATTTGTGTTTGTGTGTGTGTGTGTGCGTGTGCGTGGGTGATGATTTCCTCAGCCAAGTGCAGCTGGAGGGGGCTTTTTTCCCTCCACCGATATGAGAGCCGTCTAATTTTCTGCTATCAAATTCCCCCGCTTGGCCCAATTTGAGTGGTAGGCTCGGCTCGTTGAGAAATGTAAATTGGAAGCAATGGCCCTGCTTGCTGAGCTGCTATTATCTGACATGAACAGATAGCTTCATTAGACTCTAATAGGAATGTGTCGACTGCCACTCAAGCGGCTGAGTGGCTCAGGTGAGCCTCAATTCCGGTATTTCAAATCCAGAATTTTGGTAGTTGGTGTGTGTTCTCCTCCACTTTCCCTTTTGCGCTCTTTATTATGCCGCGGCGGCTGATAGTTATCAGACTCGCCTGAAGAAAATCGCCATTTCCAATCTCAACCTTTATTCTCGTGTGAAGCAACAGTTCAGTTCGTGCAGCGGGAAAAATCACTTTAGTCTGCGTATTCAGTTCTGCTCGGGACTGGGAAGCAGTTTTTACAATGCCGCGGCGGCCATTCCCGACCCACGAATACTGTCCTCGCCTGTCGCCGGAGACGCGTGTCCCCTCTTTGCCACTGGGGCGTCCAACGGGAGAGTAAAGGGAGATTGTACTCCTCGTATTTTCACAACGGGTGGAGCTGCAGCCGCGGGGGCCCGACTGCACCACGGCTGCTTCACTTGGTCGTGTGTGTGTGCGGGCCCTTCGCTTGGGTGAGTGTGTGTATTTGTGCGTCTGGGTAGGCCCTGTTTTGTGTGTGTTGAGCTGTGGACTGATTCGCTCTCTTGATGAGGAAAGACGCTCACTCAGTTTCAGGTTCAAACTTAAAAGAGGAGAGACCATCAGAAGAACGGAACTTTTTGGTTCCACCATCTGTCTGACGCTGATTTTTCATCCTGCACTTTCTCGTGCATGTTATTAATCACAGCAACGCCGATTTTTTTAATATTCCTTGGGAGAATTGTTACTATTCAATAATAAATCTATATCGACAACTTATTTTCCCCAGTTTTACTGTTGCTATTGAAATATTTCGTGCTATTTAATTTGAGGTGGCTGTGTTTAGCTATCGTGTCCTGATAGACCCAAACAGACGTTCTAAGTGGGGAATCCTCGGAGCACGAGGCGGCCTGCACATTCCCCCCTCCGTATGTCATGGTCCATGCTGACAGTTGTGCTCGATGACAATAACTCACACCACAGCCATGTGAACACACTAAGAATAGTATCGCCAGAGGGGCACATTTCGACGTCGGAGTAGATTTCGGCCCACATAAAGGGTGGGTAAGTAGAATCTGTGATCAGCACTTTGGCAGTGTGAACTGATTTGGTGAGAGGAGGTGTGGAATAAAAGTGCCGGTGACCGCCATGTCATGACACCGAGTACTGACACGGCTGCTGTGGGAGCATAATGTTCACCGTATGAAACCCTAACCCTTAACACTAATGGACCGTCTAATTTTTCCAGATTCCTCGATGAGACACGTATTTCCTTCTCCGCATCTCGGACTCTGTTTCGATGTGAATTCATTTTTAGCTGTAAACACAAAAAAAAAAAGAATATTACAAAAAAAAAAGAAAATGAAATAATGGAGTTTTATTCCGTCCTCGGTGACGCATATTGCCTTTCTGACCAAACTGGAGATTACATCTGAATTTAGATCTGATGTGGTTGTGCTTCCGATCGTCATGTGTCCGGGGCGTAACGAGAACAGGGGTTAAGAGTCAAAACCGAGGAGATTTCTTGTTGGTTTTTCTTGGAATGTTGGCACCGTTTGAGTCAAACATCTCTTCAGGATATCGCTGTTGTCGCCAGGTTTCTCCCGGCCAACTTCTGCTTTGATCCTCTACACAGCGAGACAAGAAAGCTGACTCTCTCGGCTGGTCAGCGTAGGATGTGTGTAGCATGTTTGTGTGGTCGTGTATGTGTGTGTGTGTGTGTGTGTGGCAGCTGAGTAAATAAAGTCAAGATCATCGCTGGAGGTTGGCGATCCCTCCTGTGGGATTAGATGAAGGCTAATTGGGGCTAACAAGGAGTAGACACTCACATGTTCTCTTTGTTTTCCCTTTCTCCTTCTCACCACAGTCAACCTCTTAGACTCTAAAGCAAGCCAAGGGGAGTTGGGATGGATTTCCTACCCGTCGCATGGGGTGAGTACCCTTTATCTCTACATCTACCCACATCATGTCTCCTTATGCTTACATTTGGGGGGGGGGGCAAATGAACTAGTTGTTGGATTCAACCGCACACACCACACGAAATGGGGATTTTTCATCTCCCGTGGTTCTCCCTGTGCCTTGTTGACCCAATGAGCCAAGTGCAGATTAACCCACTTCTCTTCAGACGCTTTTTTCGGTCCATTCTTCGTCTCTCGGGTTGAAGGTTAAGCATTCGGAGCTCGCCATATGGTCAAGATGCTTAAGGGAAAATGCACGGTGCGGGTGTTTGTGTATTTGAGTGTGCATGTGTTTAAAGGGAGATTAAGGCATTAAAGGATTTTAGGTCGTGGACAATAAAGCATCCACACAAGATACCCGATAAGCTCCTTTTTTAGTAAATATTACATCGACACCATTTTACTGTTGTTGCATGGTAACGTTGTAATTCCATTGTTAAGATCTCACTTGTTAATCCATTTGTTCTCAATTGAAAATACGCACCATCCCATTTGTCACACATAAAACACTACTGTTGCTAGTCCCATAAAACACACTTTTTTCAAGTCTGTGACACAAAAATACAAAACGAGAATTCTTAAATTCCATATCAAAGTACTCACGTCCGTATTTTGGCTTTGGTGTTACTTTCAGTCACTGTGTATTGCACAAATATACATCTTAACACCTATATTTAAAAGTTATCTTTGCTGAAATGGTGTAACTTTTTTCTACACAAACAAAACAATCTGATTACATTTGGAAACTGTCCAGCTTTGAGTGCCGTTGTTTTGGGGGGGAAAAATTCTCAACAGCCTCATCTATCAGGGTCTCTCTGCCAGAGTCCCTCCGGTGGGCTCCCGCTTAGTGTTTATTTGTGTGGCTAGTTAGACTACTGTGCCTTAGGGCCGGCCCACACCTACAAACACACACACACACACACACACTCATAGAGACACATTTCCTCGTTTCTTCTTTATTAAGTGTTAGAATTGCTCCTCGGCAGTGGCTTACGGTAATCCAGTCATTTGCTCCGTGGAGCTGCCAGACTTCGTTTCCCTCGGCCACATACTCTGCCGGCACCGTCAAATCCTCCGTTTCTCCACCAGGGTGAACCACAATGAAAGGATTCACCCAAAAGGAGAAGGCGTTCAGTGCGATCGATGTTGTGCAATAATAGAAGTTGAAAGTGTAGGAAAATGCGATATCGGAAACTTGATCCAATGATCCCACTCGGAATTGATTGAAATGCGTGACGGTGGGAGGGGGGGGGGGGGGGGGATACGCAGCGAGCTCTGCTTTATCTCACGTTATTTCCTTTGAGCGAGTTCAGAAAGAAAAAACGCGGTTCAAAACAATGCTGCAGGATTGGGAGCCAATGTCATTCAAAAAGAGGGCGATTCCACAGAGGCAACGCAGGGATGGCAGAGACAGAGGCGTTCAAAGGGAAGACAGGAAGAAAGGGAGGGGGGAGGAGTGAGGGGAGGACCAACAAGGATGAAAGAGAGGGACAGCGAGAGAGAGAGCGAGAGATATTGCTGATGATCAAGTCCTCAAGGTGAATCATCTGTAATTACTCACGTCATCCGCTGACTGCGCTCTGATAAGCAGCCTGCCAGGAGAGACTGCCGTTCACAAATGATTTCTCATAATGTGGCAGTGGCACTGAGCACCCTCGCACACACACACACACACACATACACTCACGTTGATGGAGAGGCCATGGCTATTGGCCTACTGAGACACACCGTGCTTTGGTCCGAACAAATTAAGAGCTTAGCCTTCCCAAGACGTTCACTCCGGAGCCACCGGCTAGACTGACAAGTGCATGTGTGTGCGTGTGTGTGTGTGTGTGTGTGTGTGTGTGAAGTGCGTGTGATTTCAGATATACTGTTATCTGTCTGGGAGGCAGGCTGATTGCTGAGCATTGTCCAGGGGGCTTAGCCCTTCATAAGACTAAAGAGTGTTAAAGATTACATTCTTGTGTGCTTTGAAAGCATTCTTCAGCAACAAACCAACACCCCAGACACTGGCTGTGCATACAAAATAGAAATAATGGGCACGTTCAAAGTGAAGTCCATTTTTCATAGGAGCCAGCGGGGGATTCCACAACAGTCTTGTTTTGTCTTCAGCAAGAAGTGCAAGCTTTGCTTAGCTGGTTTTTGTGACAACTACAATGGTTGAAAGGTTTGAATATTTAAAGTGTAGATTTAAAAAAGCTTTCAAAGCCAGTATTTTTCAATCCAATAAAATCAAAACTTGACTTATTTTGAAACCGATGTGTATTGATAATATGTTTTTTCCTACAGGGCGTCCATAATGTAAACGGGTATTTTTGGTCTCATGCAACGTCCATTAAAATCTACACGTTATCTCCTACACGATCTCATGCGTCGATCTTCACTACTAGCTAACAGTAACAATTTCACACAACAGCTTTGTTTTTATGCCTGAACATCAAACAAGGTTCCTCATGGGATTAATTAATTTAAAAAATAGCAATAAAATGAAGAAAAAAAATGGAAATGTGCGTTGCTCGGACAGTGCAATGTTTTTTTTTTTTTTACATATTTGGGCTCCTTCTCCACAGCACCGTGTAACTGGTTAAAAAGGGAACAATGGGGTTGACTGAGCTTTTGTGTCCAAAAAGAAAATGATTGACATCTATAGAAAAAAAGCCAACAGTCACAGTGTCAGCTTTGCATATGCTGTCAGCAATAATGAAAAAATAATTGAGCTCCCACAGACTCATTCACATCTCACATTCCAATTCTCGGGCTTGAAAGAGGAGGGGGGCAGGCGCAGTATGGTATTATATTTTCGACTAGGTTTACCCCTTTAGCGAAGGCTCCCCTTCCCCACCTCCAACCCCACTCCCCCCATGCACTGCTACTACCACCCCATCGGCAAAATCAGCCTGACCAGCATAACCCCCTCCCCGAAATAGAGAGAGTACAGAGAAAAGCCCAACGGAGATTAGCAGTGAGAGCAAGGCCCCAGAGAGGATGAGGAAGCATAGGTTTGCGGCTACTTACCTCCTCGTACCAGCTGATGAAAATGCTCTGACAGACATTAAGTAAACAGCTGGACAGGACAACATATTCAAAATGACATCAAATCCACGCCTTGGTACAGGAAATGCTTTAACCTTCCCCCAAACAAGAAAACATCAGCTTGATTAAAAAGCATAACAAACTAGCCATGAGTCACATCTGCCAATAGAACAAATGTGCCCCACAGTATCAATCGATTGCAGATGTGACTCACTGGTAAAGGATTGAAAATACAATATTTTCCAGGATCCCCTCAGCAATTGTTGCAAGGATTAAACAGGAAGAAGAGAATGCATGAAGTGTGTATTTAGGTTTCCCCCAGGACCAGCTGATGAAATGTCCTCTGACTGATATGCTGCAGTTGTTGTGTCTGTGACCCCCCCCCTGACCTCTATGGAGCCCGAGAGCTCTGCACTTGTTGCGGTGCTCCACTTCCAAGATTTACCCTCTGCAGCTGAAGCAGCAGTACGGACAGTCGAGGATACACTGCACCTGAACCCGGCTTCTTCCAATCCCGCCTTGGTATGAATTGCATTGTTCCCCTATAGTGGTCCCGGTAACTCCCCCATTGACCCGCCTCTCTTTGAAGTGGGCGAGCTGGTGTGCTGACTGGGCGACTGTGAGACGTGCCTGTTGCCGCCGTTGTAATGTCAAGAGCAGATCGAGTTACCACGCTCCATTTTACTGTCCCTTAAGCCGCTTCACCTACCTACAGCACAGATCAGACAGAGCGGGGGCTACCACACCGAACTGTGCCCCAGCTAGGACCATCGGGGGGTCGGGGTCAGAGGTCGCAAAGACCGGTGTAGGGTGCTTGTGTTGTTATATATCAATTAGGCGACAGGGGGAGGGAAGGGGGTGGGGGATTCTGCACCCACACTGCTCCCTCCCCCCACACACCCCACCTGGAATCACAGAGGTGGCTGCTCACTTTAGCAGGCCTTTATTTATCTCGGTTGACACAGAAACAGTTTTGCACATTTACAGTCGTTAGTCGCTTCTGGTGGCGAGGCGCGGTCACAAAATGTTTACTTTGGATTTGGCAAAGTTTGGTTCTTCACGCTGATTGTTGTATATTTACAAGAAAGTACTCTCCTAATGCTTTTCTGCATCTGGATGCTGGATGTGTGATGTGCAATTCTCCAGAGAACAATCTTCACGTCACAGAAAAGGTGGCATTTACCAAGGAAAAGAGCTGCTCGACTCGGTTCATCTATTCTGGAATACGATATAGCATCTCTAACACACACACACACACACACACACACACACACACACACACACACACACACACACGCACGCATCGATACAGTTGCATACACAGACACCTGGATTTGATTTGGGGCAAACTTCCGACCCCTCCCAAAGACAGTTTTAGAGCAGAGAGCAATCACTCGCAGTCGCTTTGGATTTAGCTCCGGTTTGCATCCCAGTGGTGGACATGAAAGTACATAAAGGGAAAAGACGTAAATCCTGCAGCTCTCCCAGACATCTGCTTACAAAGACGGAGATTTATCCAGACACACACACACACACACACACACAGTTTATGCAGAAACACAAATGCATAGAATCCCACAGCATGCTCATACACAGAGTAGGGAGTGGATCATAGTTCCTTTTCACAGCCCACAAACACAGTTGCAAGCTCAAAGTATATCGGCACATGCAGAGTAGTGCGCAAACACTGTGCCCCCCCTCCCCCTCTTACCCCCCCCCCAGGCCACTTGTTCCGTTTCAGCCGGAGTAGCTAAACGTTTCAGGGTGACGGGAAATCAAAGGTGGCACAAAGAGATGCAGCAATAATATTAACAACAAGTGGCGAAGCTCTTGACACGGGCAGCGCGTGAGGTGGGTGCGATCCAGAGTACGTACTTAAAGCTGCTCAATTTACATTTGCGCTCTCCTCTTAGGTTTTTTATATATAACGTTAAATGTTTTATACGTGGCCCTTTGCTGCCATTGTGTTGAGACTACAAGCAATTGTGTAGAGAGGCAAAGATTTACAAGCCACCCGGTGCTCCAGAAATTCAATTCATGAATGTTTGTTTTCCTCCTTTGAAGAAGCTTTGGTCTTGTATTTACACGACTTTGGCACCAGAGACCAGGGTTTCCATTACGAGGTCCCTGTTGAATTTTTGATACAAATTGGTAAAGTTTAGAAAGATGATTTAGGTTTTTTTTTGAAAATGAAAGAAACAAGTCATTTTTAAACCTTGTAAACAAAACCGTAAAAACTATTAGTCATGCTGTCTGTTACAATGACACATACGCATAAACAAGGAAGGCACGTGTATGCAACAAGCTCGCTGTGTCAACACCTTCATGCCCACATGGCTTTTTTAGATAAAGTACATTTTGTCTTAAGGTAATATCCTTAACCAACAGAAGTTATGCATCAAATCAGCACAAACGAGTCGATTCTAAGTTGGGCCGCTCTCCCTCCTGGCAGAAAGTATGTACTGTGTACATAAAGCCTAAGCAGATTAGGATGCTTTGTTTGCATTACTCTATGTAAGTACATTGTCTTATCAAACGTAATGTCAACAGTCACTAATCATACTGGCAGCTCCCGTCTTCCCTCTGCTCGCTGTTTGGTCAAAATCTCATCGGAGAATCGCTGTCGCATGTCATCACATCGTTATTTCCACATATATTTTAAGTCAGTCTATCGAGCGCGAGGTAAAGTGAGGCGAAATGTTAACCTCTCAGCATTCGGCCCCACTCGGCACGGTCTACTTTGCCTGTTATTGTTAGATACGGAGACAACTTGGACTCGCACTCAGATGAATGAGGTGACGCCAACGAAAGCATGACGGGGAGACTAAACACCAACGGAGTCTTTGCCCTCAATTTCCCTCCCGCTTTATCTCCCCCTCCCTCGTCCTGGCGCTTTACTTCAGCAATATCTCTCTTACTTTCGCTGCCTTCTCTTCATTATTCTTTCTCTCGGGGGTTGTTTCATTAACTTTGCTGAGATGGAAAGCAAGAGGCCATCCTTCAGCATAAGAGCTCATTGACCCCCGCGCACGCATCGATGTGCCCCCGCGCCGACGCAGCCGCACACCAAACCGTGTAATGGAGAAGCTCGACTTCCTTAGCTCGTCATTAATGTCTGTGTTCAGGCTGAGAGCACCTGCTGTGTCCGCCTGCTCCGGGACTCTAAACACTTCACATGAGCCTTATGTGAATGTATATGTGTGTGTGTGTGGGTTTATGTTTCCATTAATGCTGGTGTGAAAAGAGCGATAATTCAGTTTCCACTTACCCAGAAAGTGTTTCTCTCTCTCTCTCTCTGTAGAAAGCACTGCTCATTCGGGCATACATCAATTCGGAAATTTCACAGACTACAAAAAAAAAAAGGAGACAGAAAAAGCATCCATTTACACATTTAGGCCCATTCGTTTTAATGACTGTCATTTTAACCACAATGAGCCCAGTGTTTCAGGTGTTTGCCCATTCATCATCGCTCCGATTCAGTGTCGATTTGCCCCGGACGGCGAAGCCAAAGCGCATGATCAATGAGTCTTCCCGCTGTGTTGAATTCAAAAAGGAATGACCCCGCTTTCTCTTTTCTCCTCTCCTCTCATTGCTTACTCCCAGTGGAGGGAAAATGTAAGATAGACACGAACGTCCCTGGTATACACTCACATCTGTCTGTACTCCGTAGCTTCTTTTGTGTCATAGTGGATTCAGCACGTTTCTTTTAGTAACCGTAGCTCTGTGATGCAAATAACCAGCAGCTTGAAAGTCCTCATTTGTAGAGAAAAAAAACCAAACATGTTAGTAAAAGGGTGGAAAAAAATCACTATAGGATCTGGCTAATATTTAACAACAATTAAGCAGCTTCCCACAAATTTATTTATTTTCCAGACAGGAAATCACACGTCTCTGAGATATTTTCCCAGGGCTCTGCGAATCTGGCCCAGGCAGCAGGTTTGCTTTTAATTAATTTGAGTAATTATAAGAGATCTGGTAGTGTGATTTTTCACCCTTAAGTGTTTATTAGATGCTTAGTATTCAGCTAGAGTGAATCCGAATCTAAATAATTCATCTGTTAATGCTTACAGGGTAGAAATAACTTTATTTTTCTCTCTTCTGTCTACTCCTCCTTTCCTCTATCCTCCTCCTTCCCTTTCCTTCAATGATTTGTAAACCCTATTTTACCTCCTTGCTCTCTGTCACCCTCATTTCTTCCTCTTATCTTCACATCTTTTTTCACCTAATCTTCTTCATAACTTTCTTAACGTTTCCTTTCCTTATCTCCTCCCTCCACCACCCCCCTCTTGCTCTTTTAACCTTCAATTTCCCCCATTTTTTTCCTCCTGCATGTGATTCTCTCTCTCTCTCTCTCTCTCTCTTGTGTTCCTTGCTCCTTCTTGTCTTCCGTTTCTCTCCTCCACCTCTCCTGCTCTCCGTCTTTTACAGTGGGAGGAGATCAGTGGGGTGGATGAGCACTACACTCCCATCCGGACCTTCCAGGTCTGCAACGTGATGGAGTACAGCCAGAACAACTGGCTGCGCACCAACTGGATCTCTCGCCAGTCGGCCCAGAAGATATACGTGGAGCTGAAGTTCACCCTGAGGGACTGCAACTCCATCCCGCTGGTCTTGGGCACCTGCAAAGAGACCTTCAACCTCCTCTACCAGGAGACAGACGACGACCAGGGGAGTCACTTCAGAGAACACCTGTTCACTAAGATAGACACCATCGCCGCTGACGAAAGCTTCACCCAAATGGACCTCGGGGATCGCATTCTCAAGCTTAACACCGAGGTGCGCGAGGTGGGTCCCATGACCAAGAAGGGCTTCTACCTGGCGTTCCAGGACGTGGGCGCCTGCGTGGCTTTGGTTTCAGTGAGGGTTTACTTCAAGAAGTGCCCCCACACGGTGAGGAATCTGGCCTCGTTCCCCGACACGGTGCCCATGGACTCCCAGTCGCTGGTGGAGGTCAAAGGCTCATGCGTCAATCACTCCAAAGAGGAGGAGGGCGCCCGCGAATGTACCTGCAGCACGGAGGGGGAAGTGGCTCGTACCTATCCGGAAAGTGCCCTGGTGTAACCCCGGGCTTACGAGGGAGAGAGGCAACACCCTGCCAAAAGTAAGACAGCCTTTCTTTCTCCCCCCCCCCCCCCCCATGTGTTTTACTCATCAGTTCTCTCAAACTTCCTGTATTTGTCCTCTTTCTGTCCTTGTTTAATATACTGTGTGATGCAATGCAAAGCTTCCCAGGGCCGCGGAGCGGGCAGAGTGTTTGGTGATAAGAGCGTCACACTTAATATCTGTCTGCCTAGAATGTTTAATGTCTGGCCCCCCAACCTTTGTGTATACGTGTGTGTGTGTGTGTGCACTCTGTAGGGTTCTTTTGAAGGTGGGCCACACAACAGTGTCACTGCACAGCTGTTCATGTGTATTTCCATGCGTGTGTGTGATGTGCTTTCCAGGTCTTTGAGCTTCGTAGCGCAGCGCGCATGAGTTCAATAGTAATCTTCTGTGTGACACATCATTAGCTATGGGAAGATCTTAACCAGAGTAGCAGGGATGGGACTGATAACCCTGGAAGAAAGGAGTGGGCTGGAGCCGATGGTGAATAATGGAATAACTGCGGCCGTGGTTGCGGGTGTTGGTGGAGTCATGAACGGGGAGACGTTGGAGCCTGTGGATACTCGATCTCCCCCCAAAGTCTGTTGTTGGCTTGGAGGTGGTTATAAAAGCCCCAAAGTATATGTCTGCCTACCACGCTTTACGTTTCATTTTCAAACTGTCTGCGACATCATCATTTTTCGGCGGCTCTCGGTGCTGCAGAACTCACATATTGCTCCTTCAAACGCTCACCGGCTGATGGTTCTACCAACAGGAACAACGGCTCGCAGATATCTTTGTTAATTGTTCTTTCATAGTCCTTGTTCCTCGTATTTTCCCTGAATCTGACCTAAACTACTCAGACATTAAATACATTATGCTCCTTAGTGACTTTTACATCCCCTTTGGGATCAAGGAACCAGTGGGTTCAAAGGTTAAGTGTCACAATGGGCCTTTCATCATACAACATCCCAGTGTGATTAAGTCTCACTGTGTAATGGGTTATTCGCCTCCCGTTTGTTTATTTTGGCCTTCTCTTGAGAAAGAACACAGACATAAAATAACTAGATATTTTAGCTAAATTTAATTTCCTGAATGTGGCTTCTGCGGCCTGTGGAGCAGCTTTCTTCAATTACAGTTACAGAACTTCATCAGCGTATCTCTGCGGCAAGATGTTTTGCATTTGATTCAAATAGATGCTGTGTAAAACCCACATGCTATTTTTAAACACCACGGTACCTGACGTAAAATGCCACTAGAAGTGGCATATACTTAATGTCATCCTCTATTGATTCATGTTTCTGTATATTTAGTTTGACCATCCTAAACGGAGGACTGCTGAGACGGCATCTGCCATCAATCCCCACCTTTCTCTTTCGCCGCGGCCGCTTCCCTGTGGTCGATATCATACTCGATTTGCTCCTCACTCTGCAAGCCAGATGCACCATCTATTTGAAAGAAGCCCCTTTCTTCGTGCTCTACATCGCAGCTGTTCCACAATGGCTTTAAAGTGTAAGAAGTTTGAGGGGGGGGGAAGCAGTTTGTCTTTCGTCCTAGTTTTTGTAGCTGGGGCCCAAATGGTCCCGTGTTCATCCACTCTGTCCTCTCCAGGGCCAAGCCCAGTGATAATTAAAGATCAAAGGCAGTCTCCCAGGTCAAGCCCCTGCTGTCAGGGCCAAGGGAACCTTTTCTTTCCGGGGTTGCGGACTGCAGACGAGCCCGTCTGACTGTCCAGATGCCAGGAGAAACTCCGTCACAGGTGTCAGATAAAAAACGTATGTGGAAAATGTAAACGGATAAAGGGGAGATGTAAAATACGCAAAGATGGTTCCAAACAGACCTGGAATCCGTGCCATTTAGATTATTAACTGTGTGGTCATGACGTGTATCATGAGAATATCTCTCACATGGAAGTGTCGCATGGCTGCATACAATAATTTATATTGATTCATTAAAAGGGAAAATATCCTTAAATTATTTTAAAAAAGTTTAGAGCACACACATTTGAAAGGAAAATTCGATGTAGAAATAAGAACAGGACAAACGGCAGACCCCTGTGCCCTTTCGTACCACCCTCCTATCGCTTCCTGTCCCTCTGTGAATTCTGTGAATGTTTGGATGTATTTGACAATCTCTTATTAGTTTCAGAGAGGTCTAATGGACTCTAATAAGGTCTTATGTTACCCTGGAGTGGGACAGCTGCACCAACAGGCCCTCACAGCCCCCGTGTGCAGCCGTCAGGGGCCCCAGCGCGCAGCTCGCCCTCCAGGCCCTGCGTGTTAACAGATAGATGCGTGCATGCGTTAGGTTAGGTCACCGTACGCACAGAGATAGCGAGAAAGATGAAAACATATTCACGGACAGATACAGCCTGCCTGTGACAAAACCCACTGGTCACATTTGACCTCATGACTCCAAAGATAAGGTTAATCACGTCTTCTCATTCCATAATTGGATCCCTTATATCGTTGTTTCGCAAAATTGAACAAACAAAAGGAGAGTCGCTGTAGACACGCAGGTTGTCAGGCAGCAGTACGTTTAAGAGTTTAGAACGGAGGTGGTTGGCTTTTAATGTTCCCTATCAGATGTGGATGGAGCACCTTCACTGAATATTTCATGCTTTGTTTTCTTTGTCCAAACGCCTCGAAGCAGCATCTTTTGTTTACCTAAGTCTCCGCTGTGTGTGCGGGATGGCGAGCGAGAGAGAGAGAGAGAGAGAGAGAGAGAGAGAGAGAGAGGAGCAGAGCAGTTGTCTTTGTTTACGCAGACTCCAAAGTGTGTTTAACCGCTAAAATAGAATACACTCTAGTCTTGCTCATTATCCTGCTGGCGGCGTGTGTGTGTGTGTGTGTGTGAACACAGATTCCGTCTGACGTCGGCAATAGGACGTTGGCGCGCAGGATGCGAGAAAGTGTGTGACCGCAGACAGCGTTGAGCTCTGAGCACATTTTGATATTTCGTCAAAAACCTCGTCATTCGTCGGCGCTTTAGCGGACGCGGCGCTTGTCACACTGCACGAGGCGAATGGACGTGTCAGTCGTCGTGAGCGGGCTTGGGCCTTTCCGTACAGAACGCGAGGCCAGATTTAATCTTACCAAGTCAGCCTTTCATGTGTCATTAGAACAGACCGGAGCAGGTGAACCAACTCCCCTATCTACCGTCAGTGTGAAATTCCCGCAACCCTAATTTGATCCTGAAACAGCAAACGGATGTATGTCCGTCGGGCTTGAGTGCGTTTGAGTGTGCGCTGCAAATGCTCGCAGCTGTTCTGCTGTATGTCGCGCGGAGAGCCAGGTTTACATTCTTACTGGATTTATCGAGACACACAATCCTCAAACTGGCCACTACTATAATGCTTATTATAATTTAATATTAACAGTGCATCCGTAGACGCAGACTGGAGTGACTGGAGCCTGAGTGGCTGGTTTTGCACTTTCCGTATCTTTGTGTACGTGAAAGAAGTGAGAACTACAGTCAACTACCGTGTTATTTTCAGGACAATAAAAATATATTTTAATTCTAGTGAACAATTTTTCCACTGAGGATACATGTTCCAAATAGCAAGGCCCTTCTCTCCTTATTTGCTTCCTTTTTTTCTTCTTCCCCGTTCTCTCTCCTCCCCTCCGCTCACCCCTTGTGGCTGACGGTCTTGGGCGCCGGTTCAAAGGCAGCCGACCATCTCCTGTCGAATGGTTTATATCACTCCTCACTCTCTAGCTTAAGTGATTTAGCTGCTGTCCTCATGCACGGACATGCTTGGCTTTCAAGCAGACACAATATACATCCTTCATTGGCTTAGTCACGGCAAACCTGACTGCTCCGGAATGGTTCACCATCCATTTTATCACTTGGTATGAAGCGAAGATGTATTTGGCTTCAGCGAGGAGTCACATGCTGAAATGTTATTGGTTTTGCTGTGACTGCCAATGAGTCTGTAACTATGTTGCATTTTATCGTTTTGGGTTGGGACAACATAGTGGAAATCCAGTGCAGCTGGTGAAGAAAATAAATGTTGGCTTGCACAAAGGAACCCACATACTTTCATGGTCATCGATCAGATCACACCAGAGCAACAGTTTGGATACATAATGAAGTGAGATACAATAGGTACTGAGATGGCAGACTCCAAAACGATGCCATCTTGCTAGGTGTGTCGTTGTTGGATTGTTTTGGGGTCTCTCTGCCCCCTAGTGTTCATAAACGCTGTCATGCAGCTTCGGTTTCATTTTTATTCAATCTAGATACAATGCAGCAAATGTGACCCGTGTGAATTTTTATAGTCGCACCCGATTATTTTCGTCCCAATTAAATTATTTTGATTGATGATGAATATTTTTGCTCAGATATTTATTAATCGTAAATACCCGCAGAAGAAGCAGAAGAGCTGTGGTTATTCTTAAATGTTCTTTCTTACTCCTCTTTTTTACCCACATTGTTGTGCTTTTTGTGTATTTGTTCAGGCAGACTGCGCTGTGGATTCATGGAGCTAGTGGCGCTCCTCTGCTCCCTCGGAGGAACTCTGTTTGTTTGTGTTTGACATTATATAACTACCCGGCTCTCCACAAGAACACGGCAGCTCTCCACACAACACCGCACCTCTCAATTACAACATATAATCCAGCAACGCGCTATTATTACCACATATTCTTCTGTTTCCAAATACGATGCTTAATTAGTATACGTGCTTCTCTGTGTGCATTGCAGCCTTTGTCTCTCCTCATCACGGCTCCCTGCTACGCGCTCCTACACATTCACCGTGGGAGCTGCACAGTCGATCAGAGTAGAACAACAGCCTGTAATTCTTCTTCAGCTCCTTATTGAGGGGCAACTTACAGTACCCCCGTTGTTGTTGAGACTCGGTTGTCACTCAGACACAAAGCCAAAGCAGTCCAATGAGCTCATGCTGTCCTCTGTGTGTGTTTGTGTGAATGACGTGTTATACTGTAGATGGCTGCGCTCTAACACCGCTGCTCCATTGC